GGCTTGGAACAGTCAAAATACCCAAAAACCCGGTTGGGTACACCCGAAAATACCCAAAAACCGGCTGGGAACACCCAAAAATACCCCAAAAATCAGCGGGATCACTCGAAAAATCGGCTGGGAACACCCGAAATACCCCAAAAACCGGCTGGGAACACCTGAGAAGATCTGAAAAACAACCAGAAAAACCTGAAACCACAAAAAAAACACCCCAAAAATGGCCATGAACACCTGAAAACAGGCTGGGAACACCCGAAATACCCCAAAAACCGGCTGGGAACACCTGAGATCTGAAAAACAACCAGAAAGACCTGAAACCACAAAAAAACACCCCAAAAATGGGCTTGAACACCTGAAAACAGGCTGGGAACACCCGAAATACCCCAAAAAATCAGCTGGGAACACCTAAAATGCCTCAAGAATTGGCTGGAAACACCTGAAAATACCCCAAAAATCAGTTGGAAACACCTGAGAACACCTGAAAAACAACCAGAACAACCTGAAACCACCGAAAAATACCCAAAACATCAGCTGGGAACACCCAAAATATCCCAAAAACTGGCTGGGAACATCCAAAATATCCCAAAAATCAGCTGGGAACACCCAAAAATACCCCCAAAACGGCCATGAACACCCAAAAATACCCAAAAAATCAGCTGGGAACACCTGAAATACCCCAAAATCCGGCTGTGAACACCTGAGAATGTCTGATAAACAACAGGAAATACCCAAATACACCAAAAAATACCCCGAAACACCCCAGAAGTTGTCTGGACGCACCTGAGAACACCTGAAAAACAACCAGAACAACCTGAAACCACCGAAAAATACCCAAAACATCAGCTGGGAACACCCGAAATATCCCAAAAACTGGCTGGGAACATCCAAAATATCCCAAAAATCAGCTGTGAACACCCAAAATTACCGCAAAAACGGCCATGAACACCCAAAAATACCCAAAAAATCAGCTGGAACACCCGAAATACCCCAAAAACCGGCTGGGAACACCAGAGAATGTCTGATAAACAACAGGAAATACCCAAATACACCAGAAAATACCCCAAAACACCCCAGAAGTTGTCTGGACACACCTGAGAACACCTGAAAAACAACCAGAAACACCCAAAGCTACCGGAAAACACCCAAAAAAACGGCCAGGAAGACCTGAAAATACCCCAAAAACCGGCCTGAAACACCTGAAAACATCTGGAAAACAACTGGAAACACCCAAAAATACCCCAAAAATCGGCCAGAAACACCTGAGAACATCTGGAAAACAACTGGAAACACCCAAAAATACCCCAAAAATCGGCCAGAAACACCTGAAAACACCCCAAAAGATGGATGGAAACATGAAAATCACTGAAAAACATCTGTGGAACACCTGGAGAACAGCTGGAAACAGCCAAAATCCCCTAAAATACCCCAAAACTCAGCTGGAAACACCCCGGGAAACACCTGAAAAACAGCTGGAAACGCCCAAAAACACCCCAAGAAACAGCTGGAAACACAAAAAAAGACCAAATCATCTTAAAAACAGCAAAAATCACCTGGAAAACAGCTGGAAAACAGCTGGAAACACCCAAAATGACCAAAAATACCCCCAAACCAGCCAGAAAGAGTAAAAAACACCTGGAAATACCTGAAAAAAACAACAAAAAACAGCCAGGAACACCCCAAATCCCCCCAAAACAGCTGGAAATGCTAAAAATTACTTGAAAAACAGCTGGAAACAACCAAAATAGCCCAAAAAAATACCCCCGAACCAGCCAGAAACAGTGAAAAACACCCGGAAATGCCTGAAAAACAGCTGGAAACACCCAGAAATACCCCAAAACAACTGAAATTCAGCCAAAAATTCACCAGAAAAACCATCCGAAAACCCCCCAAAAATATCTGAAAAAACAGAAAACGCCCCAAAACCGCAGGAAAATACCCCAAAAAAATTCCCAAAACGGGGCGAAAGTCACTCGGAAACACCCAAAAAACACCTGGAGAAGAGAAAAAAATACCCCCAAAAATACCTGAAAAAAACCCAAAAATTTGGGGGAAACGACCGAAACTCATCAGAATTAAAAACCAAAAAAAACACCTGAAACCCACCCAAAAATCTCCCCAAAAATACCAAAAATCCCAAAACCCCCTCCCCAAAATTCACTGTGAACACCCCAAAGCCACTGTGAACCCCAAAATCCCTCCAAATTACCCCAAATTTTCCCAAAATTCCCCCCCAAATTTGCCCTGAATTACCCCAAAATTACCCCAAATTTCCCCCAAAATCCCCCCCAAAAATGGTCCTGAAGTCCCTCAAAATTACCCCAAAATCCCCCCCAGAAACACCTGAAAACACCCCAAAAGATGGATGGAAACATGAAAATCACTGAAAAACATCTGTGGAACACCTGGAGAACAGCTGGAAACAGCCAAAATCCCCTAAAATACCCCAAAACTCAGCTGGAAACACCCCGGGAAACACCTGAAAAACAGCTGGAAACGCCCAAAAACACCCCAAGAAACAGCTGGAAACACAAAAAAAGACCAAATCATCTTAAAAACAGCAAAAATCGCCTGGAAAACAGCTGGAAAACAGCTGGAAACACCCAAAATGACCAAAAATACCCCCAAACCAGCCAGAAAGAGTAAAAAACACCTGGAAATACCTGAAAAAAACAACAAAAAACAGCCAGGAACACCCCAAATCCCCCCAAAACAGCTGGAAATGCTAAAAATTACTTGAAAAACAGCTGGAAACAACCAAAATAGCCCAAAAAATACCCCCGAAACCAGCCAGAAACAGTGAAAAACACCCGGAAATGCCTGAAAAACAGCTGGAAACACCCAGAAATACCCCAAAACAACTGAAATTCAGCCAAAAATTCACCAGAAAAACCATCCGAAAACCCCCCAAAAATATCTGAAAAAACAGAAAACGCCCCAAAACCGCAGGAAAATACCCCAAAAAAATTCCCAAAACGGGGCGAAAGTCACTCGGAAACACCCAAAAAACACCTGGAGAAGAGAAAAAAATACCCCCAAAAATACCTGAAAAAAACCCAAAAATTTGGGGGAAACGACCGAAACTCATCAGAATAAAAAACCAAAAAAAACACCTGAAACCCACCCAAAAATCTCCCCAAAAATACCAAAAATCCCAAAACCCCCTCCCCAAAATTCACTGTGAACACCCCAAAGCCACTGTGAACCCCAAAATCCCTCCAAATTACCCCAAATTTTCCCAAAATTCCCCCCCAAATTTGCCCTGAATTACCCCAAAATTACCCCAAATTTCCCCCAAAATCCCCCCCAAAAATGGTCCTGAAGTCCCTCAAAATTACCCCACCCCCCAAAATCTTCCCCAAAATCTTCCCCAAATTCTCCCCCAAATTGGTCCTGAATTGCCCCAAAATCCCCCAAATAAACCCCAAAACCAGATGTGAGAATCGCGTTTTATTACAAACGGGAATTTTGGGGGGGATTTTGGGGCTTTTGTGGGAATTTTTTGGGATTTTGGGAAATTTTTTGGGAGGGGAATCTTAAAAAAAAAACTTGGGGGATTTTTAGGGAATTTTTTTGGGGTTTTTTTTGGATTTTTTGGGGAATTTTTTTTTTTTTTTTCGTTTTTAGGGGATTTTTTTGGGGTTTTTTAGGGAATTTTTTTTTGTTCTTTTTTAATTTTGGGGGGAATTTGGGGGATTTTGGGTCCCTCAGAAGTGGGCGGTGACTCGGTCGATTTCCAGGAGGTCGTCCAGGATCTGTGGGGGAGGGGAGAGAGGTCAGGGGCGCACCTGGCCCGGAACTCACCTGGCCAAACCTCACCTGTCCTGAGCCTCACCTGGCCAAACCTCACCTGGCCCGGAACTCACCTGGCCTGGAACTCACCTGGCCAAACCTCACCTGGCCAAACTTCACCTGTCCCAAGTCTCACCTGGCCAATCCTCACCTGTTTGAACCTCACCTGGCCAATCCTCACCTGGCCCGGAACTCACCTGGCCAGGAACTCACCTGGCCAGGAACTCACCTGGCCCAAACTTCACCTGGCCCGGAACTCACCTGGCCAAACCTCACCTGGCCTGGAACTCACCTGGCCAAACCTCACCTGTCCTGAGCCTCACCTGGCCTGGAACTCACCTGGCCAAGAACTCACCTGGCCAAACCTCACCTGGCCAAACTTCACCTGTCCCAAGTCTCACCTGTTTGAACCTCACCTGTTCAATCCTCACCTGTCCTGAACCTCACCTTACCTGGCCTGAACCTCACCTGTCCAAACCTCACCTGTCCTGAGTCTCACCTGGCCAAACCTCACCTGTTCAAAACTCACCTGTTTGAACCTCACCTGTCCAGAATTTCACCTGTTCAGTCCTCACCTGTCCTGAGCCTCACCTGGCCTGAAATTCATCTGTCCAATCCTCACCTGTCCAGAATTTCACCTGGCCCAAACCTCACCTGTCCAGTCCTCAGCTGTCCTGAACCTCAGCTGTCCTGAACCTCACCTGTCCAATCCTCACCTGGTCAAACCTCACCTGTTCAATCCTCACCTGTCCAATCCCCACCTGTGCTGAGCCTCACCTGTCCTGAACTTCACCTGTTTGAACCTCAGCTGTCCAGAATTCCACCTGGCCCAAACCTCACCTGTCCAATCCTCACCTGGCCCAAACGTCACCTGGCCTGCATCTCACCTGTCCCAAAACTCACCTGGCCAAACCTCACCTGTTTGAACCTCACCTGTCCAAACCTCACCTGTCCCAAGTCTCACCTCTCCAAACCTCACCTGTCCCAAGTCTCACCTGTTCAATCCTCACCTGTCCTGAGCCTCACCTGTCCAATCTTCACCTGGCCCGAACCTCACCTGTCCAAAACTCACCTGTTTGAACCTCACCTGTCCAATCCCCAGCTGTCCTGAACTTCACCTGTTTGAACCTCAGCTGTCCAAACCTCACCTGTCCCAAGTCTCACCTGTTCAATCCTCACCTGTCCTGAGCCTCACCTGTCCAATCCTCACCTGCCCTGAACCTCACCTGTCCAATCCTCACCTGGTCAAACCTCACCTGTCCAATCCCCACCTGTTCTGAGCCTCACCTGTCCTGAACTTCACCTGTTTGAACCTCAGCTGTCCAGAATTCCACCTGGCCCAAAACTCACCTGTCCAATCCTCACCTGGCCAAACCTCACCTGGCCTGCATCTCACCTGTCCCAAAACTCACCTGGCCAAACCTCACCTGTTTGAACCTCACCTGTCCAATCCTCACCTGGCCAAACCTCACCTGGCCTGCATCTCACCTGTCCCAAAACTCACCTGGCCAAACCTCACCTGTTTGAACCTCACCTGTCCAA